TCACGGATGATCCCCGAGGCCTCCAGTGTGCCTCAGCAGACCATGGGTGTGTGTGTGTGTGTGTCGGTGTACACACGTATGCACACTCTACTCCATCCAGAGGCCACAGAGGAGGACTGACCTCCTGCCCTTCCTCCCTAGGAAGCACAAACCTTAGAGAACCCCAAAGCAGCAGGGGAAACCTCCGTTCACCACGTGTGCTAACAGGCACTGGATAGACAAGGCTACGAACAGGCACCTCAAGGCCCTCCCCGCAAGCCCAGTGAAGGGCTCACCGCGAGCACGTTCAGACGCACGCCGAGAAGCTTTCAAACCAGGGGAGGCAGCTACACACCCACCAGAAGCCACGTAACCCCACACAAAGCGGCTCCGACCACGGTCCAAGGGGCTCAGGCCCAAGGGACCCGGCAGAAGGCTTCTCCCCAATAGTGAAGGGCTGTCTATCACCTGACTGTCTCACCCCCACCCACCCAGCATCAACATTTCAGACTCAGGTGGCCTGTGCTGTTTTATTCTCATAGAACAAACGACAACACACAGTTACAGGTTAAAAAAAAATAAAAAATAGAGATTCTCAGGAAGAAATCCAAAGCTGTGACCCTGCCGTTTGCTGACAGACCTCAGAGGACACCAAATGGCCTTCTGAATGCTTTTAGACTAATTAAACAGCATGGCTTCCTTCAATGGCATTTATAAATAAAGCTAAATTGCTGAAGTAGCATTTTAGAGATAAATTGGGGTTTTGTTTGTTTTTATTTAATGTCCATGAACCTACCAGGAGGTTTAGAACTGGAGAAAGCTTGTCCTCCACAAAGAGGAAGTTTAGCATACAAAGTAGGGAGAGAAAGAATTATAAATTTAATTGTATGCATTATTTCACTCTAAAAATAAGTGTGCTGAATTATAAATGCATAAGAAGGGCAGCTTTTAACCATCCGAATTACAGCACTGTTCTGCAGTCCGTGAACCAGAACTGTCACAGCCCGTGTCGCTGCCGGACTCAGTGATGACACAGTTAAGTGCTGTGTGACTTGATGCTGATTCCAGTGGGGGGCAGGGGGCTGGCCACCTGCACAGTTACAGAGAGCCAACCCCCCGGGGCAGAAAGGGGCCGCGTCCGGCCCCCAGCACTGAGCCCCCACTGGCCAGGTGAACGACAGTGCCCGCTCCATCCCCGCAGGAAGCAAGTCAGCTCGGCGCACGTGAGGGCACCCACCTGCCAGACCAGGTGCTCCCTGGCCTCTGGGTCCGCAGAGAGGCAGACGCTGAGGACGATGGTGTGCGAGGCGGAGGTGAGGACGCTGGCGATGACCGCGTCCCGCATGTTGAAGGGCAGCATGGTGTACACCACGAAGACGATGAAGAGGAAGAAGGACACCTGCAGAGAGGGGAGAAGGACAGGGCGTCATCCAGTGGGCTGTCCCCAGAGCTGCCCGTCTTCCCAGCAACGGACGCGAGCCCTGACTGCCAGACACAACTCAGGGGCGTCCTGAGGGGCCACTCGGCACAACGCAGAGAGGGCATCCTGACTGACCACCCAGCACAACGCAGACAGGGCGTCTGGACTGACCACCCGGCACAACGCAGACAGGGCGTCCAGACTGACCACCCGGCACAACGCAGAGAGTGCGAACAGACTGACCACTTGGCTCAACGCAGACAGGGCGTCCAGACTGACCACTCAGTACAACGAAGACAGGGCGTCCGGACTGACCACCCGACACAACGCAGACAGGGCGTCCAGACAGGCCACTCGGCACAACACAGACAGGGCGTCCGGACTGACCACCCGGCATAAAGCAGAGAGCGCGAACAGACTGACCACCTGGCTCAACACAGACAGTGCGTCCAGACAGGCCACTCGGCACAACACAGACAGGGTGTCCTGACTGACCACTCAGTACATCACAGACAGGGCGTCCAGACTGACCACCCGGCACAACGCAGACAGGGCGTCCAGACTGACCACCCGGCACAACGCAGACAGGGCGTCCAGACTGACCACCCGACACAACGCAGACAGGGCGTCCAGACTGACCACCCGACACAACGAAGACAGGGCGTCCGGACTGACCACTCAGTACAACGCAGACAGGGCGTCCAGACAGGCCACTCGGCACAACGCAGACAGGGCGTCCAGACAGTCCACTCGGCACAACACAGACAGGGCGTCCGGACTGACCACCCAGCACAACGCAGACAGGGCGTCCAGACTAACCACCTGGCACAACGCAGACAGGGCTTCCAGACAGGCCACTCGGCACAACACAGACAGGGCGTCCAGACTGACCACCCGGCATAATGCAGAGAACGCGAACAGACTGACCACTGGCTCAACGCAGACAGCGCGTCCAGACAGGCCACTCGGCACAACACAGACAGGGTGTCCTGACTGACCACTCAGTACATCACAGACAGGGTGTCCTGATGGGCCACTCGGCACAACACAGACAGGGCGTCCAGACTGACCACCCAGCACAACGCAGACAGGGTGTCTAGACTGACCACTCGGTACAACGCAGACACCGCGTCCAGACTGACCACTCGGTACAACGCAGGCAGGGCGTGTAGACTGACCACTCGGTACAACGCAGACACCGCGTCCAGACTGACCACTCGGTACAACGCAGGCAGGGCGTGTAGACTGACCACTCGGTACAACGAAGACACCGCATCCAGACTGACCACCCAGCACAATGCAGACAGGGCATCCGGACTGACCACCCGGCACAACACAGACAGC